TGAGGAGTTTGGTATTTCATATTATAAAATTCAGATAATATGTAAATCCTTTCAAATATGAATATATTTAAAGTGCACAAAATACAGTAAAAGAAAAGAAACATTGTATTTTCTATATAAAATCTAGATGTCCTTTTGTTTTATTTTGCTGCTTCTGTCCAATGCTAGCTACCACATGATCCCCCACCAAAATAAATAAAGATCAGTTTTAATGATGGAGAAACCCAGTACAGTGCAAAGCAATTCATGCATACACTTTTGCATGTATTGCATTCCATATGAATATTCATACCTATCCAGAGCTCTTTGATTCCTGAAACGTGTTCAAATGGAACGCTTGGTAGAAAGCAGGTTGAAGGATTCCTGTGAGATCCAAGAATCAAATGAAATGAGGTTGAGGAATACAGTAAATCACCACTTTTTTAAAAAAATGGGAAGATTTCAGATTTCTAATACACTGTAAACGTGCTTTAATAAAAAAGAGGGAAAAAAACATATAAGCTTGTTTAAAACAATACTTTTAAAGGGAATTAAAAACTGATAAAATCACAGAAGACCTCAATAATGCAGGATCACAGGTCTAAAATAAAGATGGTAATACAATAAAATTAAATACTAAGTAGCATCCAATTTTGTGTGTGTGCACATGAATATGACTAAAATACAGCCTAATCAACACTATTCTGTACGCCGATGCTTTTATAAATATATATTGGGTTTAAAATTATAACAAAGCAGTTCTCATAGTATTCATATAAAATAAGCGTATACCTTAACAATATTAAATATATTCTTAGGCTCTGTTATAAGTGAAAAGGGTGTGAAAATGAATATTGTAGAGTTTTCCCTGGGTTGGCCGTGACATATTTTCACCTTCAGAATCCATTTATTTTATGTGGTGGTTTTTCTGCCTCGCCAAAAATGGCACAGCAATTGCATAGTAGCTTTCTGAATTCTTGCATTAGCACAGGGCCCCTTAAAGGGATAAAAGCTTACTTAACATAATTATCATACATTTCTACATTCCCTAGGGACTCCCCTTAGGGCCATCAACCATAGATTCTTAACTCATGGGCTTATCGTGGCAAGTCCCAGGTATGTACTATCATCTCATATCCAGGATGGCTTCATAGGTAACTAAAGTTTTGACAAAGCTGCTTCCTAAACAGTTTTCCTTCCTCCTGAGCACACTTCTAGTACCTCCTCCCTCCCCAACCTGTACCTGGGCTAACAAAAACTTGCCATACACTTTAAAATTCTTAGCCCATACTATTGCAGATAATACCATCAGCTAGAATATAAGTTTATTATATACCACACACACTATTTCTAAGTGCTTTACATTTATTAAGTCAATTCTGACAAAGCCTAAGAGGTAGTGTCATTATTTTCCCATCTCACAAATGGAAAAACTGGCTGAGACAGAAGTAACTTGCGCTTATGTCACGGAGTTAGTAGATGGCAATCTGGCCCCAGAGTGTATGCTCTAATACTACTAAACATAAGCAGAGTTAAGTCTGTCTCTTTTATCTATTAAATGGTGATACTACTATCTAGACTGGTAGATGGTTGAAGAATCGAGACTTTACATAAAGCTCCTAGATACAGTCAATGCTTGTTAGCTATGATTTTTATCTACAAACAAAATTTAGATACAACATGACAACTCAGAGGCCTAATAATTGCCTTAAAGTTTCTGCAGAAGTACAATAAAAGAACTGTTTCCAGGGTCTACTGGAACAGCAATCAAATATCAATGATATCAAATAAAACAAATACATGATAGAATTCTGTGATTTCAAAACTCAAATTGAGACTCATTAAGTTGTTATATCAAAGTTTTAAATATCTTTTTTGGAAGGCATAATATATTATATTATTTTTTTTTTTAGACAGCCTCACTCTGTTGCGTCAACCTAGCTCACAGCAACCTCAAACTCCTGGGCTCAAGTGACCCTTCTGCTCAGCCTCCTGTGAGTTGGGACTACAGGCATGTGCTACCATGCCTGGCTAATTTTTCTATTTTGGTGGGGGGGGGGGTGTGTGTGTGTGTGTGAGGAGGTGTGGTGGTGGGTCCCACTCTTGCTCAGGCTGGTCTTGAACTTCTGAGCATGAACGATCAACCACCTTGGCTTCCCAGAGTGCAGAGTGCTAGGATTACAGGCGTGAGCATTTTTAATTTTAACCAGTAGGTACCTGTTAGATAATCCAAAAGCCCTACTTCAATTCCTTTCTGTTCTTTTAACCTTTCTTTACTTTTCTCTTAACTAGGTCGGTAAGTACAGTAAAAAAAGTGGCTCCATAAATTCTTAAGAGGATGTAAATTGTTTAAATAAACAGCAGTTAGAAGCCTCTTAAGCTTTTGTTACTAGCTAGTCTAACCAGTGCCTGTTATTGCCTTAGACCTAGTTAAGAGAAAAGTAAAGAAAGGGTTAAAAGAACAGAAAGGAATTGAAGTAGGGCTTTTGGATTATCTAACAGGTACCTACTGGTTAAAATTAAAAATGCTCACGCCTGTAATCCTAGCACTCTGCACTCTGGGAAGCCAAGGTGGTTGGATCGTTCATGCTCAGAAGTTCAAGACCAGCCTGAGCAAGAGTGGGACCCACACACACACTCCTCACCCCCCTCTCGTCTCCACCAAAAATAGAAAAAATTAGCCAGGCATGGTAGCACATGCCTGTAGTCCCAACTACTCAGGAGGCTGAGGCAGAAGGGTCACTTGAGCCCAGGAGTTTGAGGTTGCTGTGAGCTAGGTTGACGCAACAGAGTGAGGCTGTCTAAAAAAAAAAATATATATATATATATGCCTTCCAAAAAATGATATTTAAAACTTTGATATAACAACTTAATGAGTCTCAATTTGAGTTTTGAAATCACAGAATTCTATCATGTATTTGTTTTATTTGATATCATTGATATTTGATTGCTGTTCCAGTAGACCCTGGAAACAGTTCTTTTATTGTACTTCTGCAGAAACTTTAAGGCAATTATTAGGGCCTCTGAGTTGTCATGTTGTATCTAAATTTTGTTTTGTAGATAAAAATCATAGCTAACAAGCATTGACTGTATGCTAGGAGCTTTATGTAAAGTCTCGATTCTTCAACCATCTACCAGTCTAGATAGTAGTATCACCATTTAATAGATAAAAGAGACAGACTTAACTCTGCTATATGTTTAGTAGTATTAGAGCATACACTCTGGGGACCAGATTGCCATCTACTAACTCCGTGACATAAGGCAAGTTACTTCCGTCTCAGCCAGTTTTTTCATTTGTGAGATGGGAATAATAATGACACCTACCTCTTAGGGCTTTTGTCAGAATTGACTTAATAAATGTAAAGCACTTAGAATAGTGTGTGTGGTATATAATCAAAACTTATATTCTTAGCTGATGGTATTATCCTGCTATAGTATGGGCTAAGAATTTTAAAAGTGTATGGCAAGTTTTTGTTAGGCCCCAGGTACAGGTTGGGGGAGGGAGGAGGTACTAGAAGTGTGCTCAGGAGGAAGGAAAACTGTTTAGGAAGCAGCTTTGTCAAAAGTTTAGTTACCTATGACGCCATCCTGAGATATGAGATGAATAGTACATACTGGGAGCTTGCCCAGATAAGCCCATGAGTTAAGAGTCTATGGTGATGGCCCTAGGGGATGTGTCCCTAGGGAATGGTAGAAATGTATGATAATTATGTTAAGTAAGCTTTTATCCCTTTAAGGGGCTCTGTGCTAATGCAAGAATTCAGAAAGCTACTATGCAATTGCTGTGCCATTTTTTGGCGAGGCAGAAAAACCACACATAAATAAATGGATTCTGAAGGTGAAAATATGTCACGGCCAACCCAGGGAAGAACTCTACAATATTCATTTTCACACCCTTTTCACTTATAACAGAGCCTAAGAATATACCTTTATATTGTGAAGGTATAGCTTATTTTATATGAATACTATGAGAACTGCTTTGTTATACTTTTAAACCAATAGATATTTATAAAAGCATCTGGTACAGAATAGTGTTGATTAGGCTGTATATTAGTCATATTCATGTGCACACACAAAAAATTGGATGCTACTTAGTATTTAATTTTATCTGTATTACCACTTTATTTTAGACCTGTGATCCTGCATTATTGAGGTCTTCTGGAATTTATCCAGTTTTTAATTCCTTTAAAAGTATTGTTTTAAACAAGCTTATATGTTTTTTTCCTCTTTTTTATTAAAGCAGTTACAGTGTATTAGAAATCTGAAATCTTCCATTTTTTTAAAAAAGTGGTGATTTACTGTATATTCTCAACCTCATTTCCATTTGATTCTTGGATCTCACAGGAATCCTTCAACTGCTTTCTACCAAGCGTTCCATTTGAACACGTTTCAGGAATCAAAGAGCCTCTGGGATAGGTATGAATACTTACATATGGAATGCATACATGCAAAAGTGTATGCATGAATTGCTTTGCACTGTACTGGGTTTCTCATCATTAAAACTGATCTTTATTTATTTTGGTGGGGGGATCATGTGGTAGCTAGCATGGGACAAAGCAGCAAAATAAACCAAAAGGACAATCTAGATTTTATATAGAAAATAAATGTGCTTTTCTTTTTACTGTATTTTGTGCACTTTAAATATATTTATATTTTGAAGGATTTACATATTCTACTGAATTTTATAATATGAAATAACAACTTCCTCAGTGTATTTTAATGCAAAAATATGTTATATAAAATAAACCATCTATAGTTAATTTTTGTGCTGTTTTATATGGTTTCTCTGTAAAAGCCATAGTGACTCAAAGTGAAATGTTATTTCAAATTAAGAAATTGAAGGAGGGACAAAACAAAGGTATCAAAGTAGTCATTGTTTAATTTTTGGCAAGAAACATCAAGTTTGTTTACTAGAATATACTAGATCTGCATTCCTAGTTTGTAAGCCACTAAAACAGTTTGCTTTCTCGCAGAAATGTAGTATAGATTTTATTTTTAACTTTTCAAATATAGAATGAAATCTTGGAGTTCATTTATGGCAAAAGATACTTTGGTTTATCTTTCTGCTTAACACACATTTTAGGTAGCATATGCTCTGTTCAGTTATTTTGCTGAATATTTATTAGCACTCCATCATTTTGTGTTTAATTAATAGAACTTGAGCACAAACAGTGTTTCTAAAATTCACACAAAGCTTGTTAGATTCTTTTAATTCTGCCTGGCAACGCATTTGTGTCTTCTGGCATAGTTTTGGATTATACTCATGAACTCAACTCTGTCTCTTTCATTAGAAGAGTATTGCTAAGTGCATGTACATGTCATATTAAGACATGATCTGCATTGCCTAGAATGCTAAAACAGTCTTAGGCTTGATTTGCTTGTGTGTCACTCTAGAGAAATTTTCTAACAAAGTATATTTTAGATGGTGTGTCCCTTAACCAAAAATGTTTTAAAATAATTACTTTTAGAACAAGAAGTTTAAAAATGGATAGTACCATGTTAATACATTTTTCAGTAGTTCTATAGTAATATAAATTATTACATAAATGTAAATTATGGCATGAAACAAGCATGAAATTGTAATCATTCAAGTAATTTACGAAATGTAGCCAGAACGTGAGGATTTTGGGATATGCTTTATATTTTCCCCATAGAAAAAGGAAAAATAGTACTCCAGAAATGTAATTAAGAGTAGTTTTCAAATTCAAATGTATGGTAATTTATTTCAAATAGCTAACTTTTGTGAGCTACCCTGATATCAATATGAATGATCAAAATGGTATAGAAAGATTTAAGCTTTATTTTTTATAATTTGGATCTAATATTAAAGGTTTCTTTTGTTTCATTATAAAACAACTGTAGACATTGCCTGCACATCATTTGTTGTTACAGCTAAATACTCCTTATCTGTTTTCTTTTTTAGATACCAGAAACTTTTTAAGGTATCAGAAATGAGGCAAGTTGCTGTATCTGTAGTTTCTCATGGGTTGAAAATATTTTCTCTTCTCCTTGGAGGCTGTTGTCCAGAGCCAAAGAAGTTAACGGATACTTGTCTATAGTATGTTAATGCCAAAATATAATCAGAACTTAATATTCTAGATCAGCCTTTCTTCACTGTAAGAGGACCAAGCTGACTAGCCCAACCCTGTAGAAACAGACTAGTGGCTTCCTAAATTTAACTAATTTATTAAATTTCCAATTGAAAGGAGCAATAATGGCTAGCTTTATTAGTTCTGATAATCTATAACTCCAGTTAGCAGATATCTACAGACTTGTTAAAAAGCGTATCAACTAATAAAATATTGTGAGACTGTTTATTCATTGCAGACAGGGGTTGAAGATTTGCATGTGTTAAGCTTTAAAAATATTAAATATAACTTCTGACCTTGTTTATTTTAGAAACCTCACCAAATTACCTTGTTCATTTTTGACTATTATAAATTTAGGATTATTTTTTACCATTAATTTGGCAAGTAAGTATTTTGCAAGGGTGATTCTGCTATTCTATAGAACCATTCAGGAGTTTAAGGGACTGTAAGGACCTTACATCTGCGACAGCTCCCCCCAGCCCATGGAAAATTATCTTCATGAAACCAGTCCCTGGTGCCAGAAAGGTTGGGGACCGCTGCCTTACATAATCCTACTGCATTATCAACTTATTTTGAGGCATAAATTTGCCTGTCAGTATTGCTAGATACCATATCCAGGCTCCTGTTTATGAAATGTTGGAAATCATTTTCAGTAGAGGCGGTTGTTATGCCCCACTCCAGTTTTCATTAAACCTGCCCTAAATAACTGAAGATTCCTGATTTTGCCTTCCTTGAAAGACTGGAATTTCCAGGGAAATTCTTTCAGTTTAGCAGAGTATCTTTCAATCAAAATTTAAGTAACTAATACACTTTTTTGATATTGACTTAAAAAGTTCTCTGATGGCCCCTTTGTTTCCTTCCATATATAAATTAGAATTAGCAAGGCGAAAGACTTCACCAGCCTCTGAAAATAGTCTGCCTCTGCCTGTATGTAGATATTCTCTCCTTTCACTGATAGCCAGTGTTCACTCAGTTATTATAATAAAATTGAGCTACTCTCAAGCTTTCCTTTCCCTTTTTATGTAGGAGCCATCATGGTTTCTGTCTTTTCTACCTGTCATTTGCAGAGTCCTCAAGGACTCAGTCAGCTGAAACCATCTTCAGATAAGGAGAGTAGATAGTAATCGCTCAGGTATTTTCTTCAGAAGCCCAAACTGTTTACATTGACTGTTCATTAAAATGAATAATGTAGCTTTCCTCATCCACTTTGTAGGAGATTATCTTACTATGAAGAAGTTAATTTTTAGTAATGTCCTAGCCTATTGGCATTTCAGAGTTAGTAACTTTAACTTTTAACTTCCTATTATTTAAAGAACAGCTTTCCAAAGTTAATTCTAGGTATTGCTTTGTTAAATAGGCAGATTTAGTTTAGAACCTATCCTTATGATCACTGGGGAGCAGGTTGTCATTCGGAGTCCTTTTTTGCAAAAGCTCAGCATAAGAATTGGTAACAAACAATTTACCCTCTTCTAAATATCAGGTCAGTAAACTAAAGGAGTATGAGAGAGAAGGAACTTTAGTTCATGTAGCATAAAAGAAGGAATCAGATAGCTTATAAGGATTTAACCTCAATGATAAGCACTTGAAGTGTTTTTGTCTTCATACAGAAAATATATAAATGAGAGTAACAGTTGCTAGGTGCACTGCCCCCTTAAGTCTGCTTGTCCTTTTTTATAATGGTTCCAATATTTAAAGAGGAATTAATAAGGAAAGTAGTAGACATGGGTCATTAATTTAAAATGAATGTCTAAGTTTATTAGACATCTTTTACTAGACAATTGGTGATTTCTGTCAATTTTTTTTACAGTGAGTATTCATTTACATCTATTACATCTAGTTTAAAAATTATTGGATATACAGATACAGGCTGCTGTCAAAAGAAAAAAAAAATTATTGGATAAAAAATGTGTTGTTATTTAAATAACCTCAAGTATTTTGTGTTAGAAAAGACTTCCAGTGTTTCCTCTCAATGTGCCCTGTGAGATTTTATTTTTGAGGCAAGGAGTAAGTTAGAACTAAGCTGCTTATGAATGCTGTGGATACCATATGAGACAATTTATTTGTTTTGCTTATCCTCTAAGAAGCTTGGGTCCATCATTAACATTTACCAGTACTTGTTAACCTGAATGGTAAGACTCAGTTTTCACAACTTGACTAATCTAGTTTTTGAATGCTCAGTGATAGGACTTTTAGAAAATTTTTTATTTGAAATATAATTTGTATCAGAAAAGTGCACCATTCATAAATATACAGCTCAAACTGAACACACCTGTGTAAGCAGCACCCAGATCCCAAATCAAGACATAGAATATTATAAGCTTGCTTTATGACCTTTTTCATACCCCTTTCCATTGACTTCCTCTTCTTATCCTAATTTCTCATATTTTATATAAGTAGAATCATATACTATGTATTTTGTGTCTGGTCTTTTTCACCCAGTACTATGTTTTAGATTCATCTGTGTGGCCCTGCATAGTTGTAGATCTGAACTATGTAATTTTAAAGAATCACTATAGTGTATTACTTGATTGTTACTGATTAAATGTTCTCTCTTAATAATTATATATAAGTACCTTGAGTGTATATACCCTAGTTGTTTTGAAACCAACCCAAATATGTTCCTTAATAATTTGTACCTGGTACTTACATAATTTATTATCGGATTACATTTCAACCTGTTCCACTTAAGGACTTCTAGTAGGGGATAAAGAAGCTAAACATTAGCTTTTTAATAACCTGTCACCTTTTAAGACTTTTTTTTTTACTCCTTTCCTTTCCCTTCCCTCTTTCTTTCTTTCCTTCCTGTCTTCCTTTGTTTAAATTTTGAAATAATTTTAGATTTAAAGTTGCAAAAATAGTGCTGAGGGTTCTTATATATCCTTTACTTAACTTTCCCTAATGTTAACATTGTGTACAACCTTAGTACAATTACCAAAGTTAGGAAGTTAGCGTTGGTATAGTACTATTAACTACAGATCTTATTTGAATTTTGCTAAGTTTTCCACGTTTTTAAATGTCCTTTTTCTGTTCTAGGATCTAATTCAAAATCCCACATTGCATTTAGCCATTATGTCTCCATGTTAATCTGTAACATAGGACTGTTACTTTTCTTTTTCTTTTTCTTTTTTTTTTAAGAGACAGGGTCTTGCTGTTGCCCAGGCTGGAGTACAGTAGCATGATCATAGCTCACTGTAGCCTCAAACTCCTGCGCTTAAGCCATCTTCCTACCTCAGCCTCCTGAGTAGCTGGGAGTACAGGTGCATGAGTGAAATTTAGATTCAGTTTACTTTTAAAATGCCTACTTTGTGGAGTTTTTATTCCCCCTACTTAGTTCTAAATGGAAAAGAAAAAAGATAAATACAAGCTTTGGAATTAGGCTCCTTCTGTTTTCCCATTATCAGCAAACCTTAAAGAGCTGTGTATCTGCTTAAGGAATGGAAAGCTGGTGAACTGACAGAAGAATTTAAAAAGGTTAAGTAACTTCATTCAGAAATAATGGACTATACATATATTGGCATCATTCTAGGTCATAGTCAGGACCATGGGGAAAACAGGTCCTTAGAATTTTTGAAAGCCACAGTGTGTGATTATGAAATTGATGCTCTAAAAGTGTAAGTTAAATCCTTGATGTAGAAATAAGAGTAGTATGCAGGAAAAAAATACAGTTGTATGTAAAATGTAGTGAATGTAGGTCATTGGGGTTTTAGGGTAAGATTAAAGAAGGCCACATATGAGGCCAGGCACGGTGGCTCACAGCTATAATCCTAGCACTCTGGGAGGCAGGCCAAGGCGAGCGAATCGTTTGAGCTCAGGAGTTCAAGACCAGCCTGAGCAAGAGCGAAACCCCATCTCTACTAAAAATAGAAAATATTAGCCAGGCATGGTGGTGCATGCCTGTAGTCCCAGTTACTTGGGAGGCTGAGGCAGTAGGATCGCTTGAGCCCAGGAGTTTGAGGTTGCTGTAAGCTAAGTTGATGCCATGGTACTCAAGCCAGGAGAACAGAGTGAGACTTTGTCTCAAAATAAAAAAAAAAAAGGCCACATATGAAACTCTTTGAAACCCATGCCTAAAATTATCTCAAAAGCTACTAGGGAATTTCAGTAAAGTATTAGATGGCTGATCATATTATAAAGTAGTCTCTTTAATAATATACATCTGTCCCAAATTATAGACTCTTGCCATTTAAGGGATTTTCCTGTTGCTATTTTAAGTGGTTCTTTCAGAGATTACCTCTCCTGACCAAAAGACTAAAGCCTGAAAATTTGACTTTTGTATGGTAGCTCAAAATGAAGCTGAGGGAAAATATCAGAAAAATTTGCAATTGCTTGACTCAGCAAAAGCTTACTTATTTACTATAAATACTAGAAAAAGCAAGATCAATAAAATTTAGTGCCTGCTTTTAATGAGCTTAGTCTTAATATGGAAAAAGATAAGTTAATACATTATCACATCACTGAAAGTGACAACTATCATAAAATTCAAGCACTTTATTTCTCTTAAGTATAGTTGGAGGGATTGGTCAAAACTTCTTCAGGAGGTGGCTTTTCAAAAAGTTGAAAACTGAAAGGTAGGTAGAATTTGGTCATGCAGAGTTAGAAAACTGGGGAAAGAGACCATTCCAATTAGAAGAAATGCTGTGAACCACTATGAAACTACAGTGCTTATGTGATAAGGATAGTTAAATTTGACTGGTGCATGACTTTAAGACAACAGAGAGGGTGGACGTGGTGGCTCACACCTGTAATCATGGCACTCTGGGAGACCAAGGCTGGTCGATCATTTGAGCTCAGGAATTTGAGACCAACCCAAGCAAGAGCGAGACCCGTCTCTACCAAAAATAGAAAAAATTAGCCGGGTATGGTGGTGCATGCCTGTAGTCCCAGCTCCTCGGGAGGCTGAGGCAGAAGGATTGCTTGAGCCCAGGAGTTTGAGGTTGCTGTGATCTAGGCTGATGCCAGGGCAACAGAG